AAGATTGTATTGAGTAAGAATAATTCTTTGTTCAGCTGCTTTTTCATACCATTCAACTGCTTTTTGTTCATCCTTTTCTACTCCAGTTCCATATTCATAACATAAAGCAAGATTGTATTGAGCACTGGCATCTCCTTGTTCAGCTGCTTTTTCATACCATTCAACTGCTTTTTGTTCATCCTTTTCTACTCCAGTTCCCTTGGTATAACACCAACCAAGATAAGATTGAGCTCTGGCATATCCTTGTTCAGCTGCTTTTGCATACCATTCAACTGCTTTTTGTTCATCCTTTTCTACTCCAGCTCCATTGGCATAACACCAACCAAGATTAGATTGAGCAGCAGCATCACATTGTTCAGCTGCTCTGTAGTATAACACATGTTGATTCCCTTTTTTCATTTCGTATAATAATAAGCAATATAATTATCGACAATCAGTATTACAGTATTATTGCAATATTAAATATACGTTAGTATATTTACAGTATATTTGGTATTACAGTATTAGTATTCAGAAAAATCCAATTTCGCAATAATCGAAATGTAGTGTAACGATAGGTTGATTAATTATAATTTGGAATACCTTCGATTCTACCCTATAGTAATGTTCTATTTATCACAAAGATAACTTACGTGATAAAAATAAATTGTTGTACTGCCTGTTTACTGCTACGTGCAAATGATTATGTGTCATACTAGCGAGTACAAAATGAAGAGAGGTTAAATGCCAATAGCTTTTCACAAGTGAACTAAATTAGTATTAGGGAAAACGAACATTACTGTCAGCCTTTTTCTTGCAAATAAGACGTGTCGCACGTTTGTGGGAAAACTAACTGAATACGTATGTACAGTATATCAATAATGCAATGATCGAACAAAAAACTCGCACAGCTTGATATTGTAATAATAATAAAGACATTTAAAATTTAGTTGAACAAGAAATGTAGTCAAAATACGCCAATTTTTGACCTGTTATTATCATTAGTATCAATTGTTTCGAATGTATCATCAGAGATTCGTATGTCTTGTAGCTTTTGTTTATGAATTCAAGTCATTCTTTGCCAAATCCTATCTGTAACCGCATTGTTTAAGTGTCGCGAGTGAAAGAGTAAGTACAAAAATTAAAGCCTGACTTGTTTTTATACCCATCGTCGCCACCATGCACTTAATGAGTTGAGATTGAGAGTTGAGTTATTTTTAGATGCTTATGACGAAGTTAAAAATATTAATAATAAAAAACTTGGGCTAGTTTTTGGCAATTGGGGTAATGGTATTGGCATTTTTCTTAGGCATGGTTTTTCTAAATATTCTCTAATTCAGCAAAATCTAATCCGTATTGGTCTTTCTTGCTGATGACCTTTTGAGCGACTCCTGAACAAGGATGGTTTGTAAGATTTATGCGCGGTTCAGTTTTGAATAACTCATTAAAATAATTGGGCAAAGCCGTTGGTACAATTCCTCTGGATACAATCGGAACTGCTCATTATTACGTCGATGCAACTATTGCGTGTGTGCAAACTTAAATTCTGACTCTCACCAACCCCAACAAATACAGTGGTAGCTGACTGACAACCATTCAAGGAATATTCATGGTATGATTGTCTCAAATATGATGGAACTACTAAAATAATTACCGATCGTTGATGTTTCATCCATTGCGAAATAAAGTCGATATGTTAATATGAGACGTCAATTAACTTTGGGTTGAATAGAAACGTGGTCACACAGCAGTCATGAAAGCAGTAGCGACTAATCCGGACAGCAGAACTATAAGCCACTACCCACGGTCTTGGCTTCAATAGTTTCTTTCAGGTTTTCCTCATAAAAACCGGTTAAGGCTCCTTTGAGGTCGGGCAAATAGTCTTTTATTCGCATATTACTCTAATGCTTCTTGATTTTGCGCATAGTATTATCCGATGGAAATAGAGGCGGCATAGGCTATAAAACGCTACCTGAGTAAAAGAAGACTGTTAGCAGTGCTTGTCAGCAATAAAACAAAAATTTTATTTAATATTGCTTTCAGGGGACAATGCATGCTGAACTTCAGATCGGAGGGAAACGTGAATCTATAATTGATGGGGTATACGCGAATTTTTGGACATGCTAACTTCATATACTGTACAATGATTCCGTGTGTTACTTTCTAGACAAGAAGACGAATTTTCCTTTCATCGAATCAATCAGTACAGTTCCTTTCACAGGCCTACTGCAGGTTCAATATCTGTCATGAAAGGAGCGAGAACGCACAAGCGGACGCGTCGAAAGACAAACAAAATCTGACATTATGTAAGAGTACGAAATTTATGTAAACTATAATAATTATTATATAATGTGTGCGACTGCCCTCATAGAGGGATTATGACCCAGGCGGTAGCGTTTTCAAGCATACGGCGGGCGAGTGTTATGGCTCCAACTACTATCATTGTATTAGTATGGATTACATGCCAAATATCCATTCTGTCGGGATTGAATACTAGTAATAGCACTCAGGGAATGCTATGCGGAAAGCCTGTGGAAAATTCACTCTCCGTGAATGAAAGATAAACGAATGGTAATCTGTTTGGCTAACCGAAACCATCCGATACCAAGTTAGTTTATTCGCATGCGACTTTAAGCAAAACGCATAAACTGCCACATGCTGCATATTTCCCAAGTTCCCTATTGACAAATTGTAAATTAATAAACGGGGACTCATTATACATACTCATTACGTCTCAAGAAATTGCTAACATCTAATCAAAAAGATACAAACCGCTCAATAGCTAGCCTCAACTATTGACTCTTCGCATCACCACCAGTTTAATTCAAGTTTTCTAGTTTGGCCAACTCTTTTTCCACATCAGACTTTAGAATGGTTTTTTCCTCAATTATAAGTTGCAACTGATGAATTATCAACACATTGTCCAGGCGACGGTTGTAATCTGTAAGCAGCCGCTGAACCCGAACGCCTTCAGTTTGATTTACCACTTGATTAGGGAATAGTGCGAGTTGGTTTTGCTGAATGAACATCTTGATTGCGGAAATATTGGAATCAATACAAAGGATTAATTAATAGCGATTTAAGGTAATTGCGAATAATCATAACAAAAACAGCAGTAGTATGCCGTCACATTATTATGATTCCTATCATGACTCTACCACTTACCAATAAATTGTGTGTGCTGCATGCAGGCATACTAATTTTCGACGTAAGCATTCTTGCAATCCTGAACATAGTCATTGAACTTTGGGGCCCACATGGATAGATAGAAGGTTTCTAAGTATAAGCGCACTGAATATGAACATCAAAGATTCAATGTATTCATCCGATCTTTTTCTTTTCCCTATATAATTTCGAGATCAGCATCCTGAAACCCAGTTCACCAAACTGTTGTTTGATTATATACATTCGATATGGAATCACCATCCTAATCGTGAACCATTGTACGTAATCTCATTTCACTTCTGGCGGTTATCCGAATAGAACGCGCAAGAAAATTGCTAAAGAAGTATCAAACGACAAACAAGAACAATAGTGAAAGTTGATATAATGTTGGTTAGTGGGCGTTGCCAACAAATTCGCAATAAATGGCAAGACTTTTCATCTTACTAAATACCTGATATATCGAATTTAAGCAATTTTCAGGGAACCGTAATTTCGCCGCCGCCGCTATTTCACAGAAGTTCCACAAGGATTGTAGTAATACTCGGAACTGGATCGCATTGTATCACACTGGCCTCGTCTACGATGTTTTTCGCCTACCTCATTCTATCGCGTCCATCCAATCCAGTCGATCGACATTGGATAGCTCTACGCCTAACTGTAACCCTGGTAAGTAGTTCTGTCAGTGATGTGTTCCTGTTTGTGTAAATTAAGTCTGTAATGCTAGCATTTTCATCAAATTCAGTCCTTGAAGTGTGAGCGGAAATTATTGCAATGTTTGGAAAATGTCTGTATAAATTATGATTGTAACAATATTATCTCACCGTTGATCATTTCATAACTTCTAGAATCAGAAGATTCACGAGCGTTTAATCAGAGTCTGAGCTGTTTACGTGAATTTTACGCGTAGAAACTGTAAAAGCGCGGATAGCGACCTGACCAACTTCCTGACACATGACTCGAGACACGAGAGTAGATCTAATGAAACAAAGAGGAAGAAGCGTCAATAGAAAGTAGGCAACAGGATAGGATTATAGAGGATGGGATTAGAACGACTTATATACATTTTGTATTTTTTTTCAAATCCAATTTGTTATTTTTAGTGTAAAGACACTTTACTACGTCAATCGGATGGCAAACAACTTCAATCCCAAAAATTGCAATCATATGGATGGTATGGATAAAGATGAGTTGAGTGAGTTTTCTTCGGATGCTAAATGGTGGGGAGCATATGAGGAGAGGGTATGCAGGAAAAACGAATACGACATGTAATATGAATGTAATGCGGTGTTTCATGCTTTTGTAGTCACTGTGAGACGGGAAAGGGCTTTTGATTTTGTCAGTTGGTACGGACTGTGCTCAGATGCGTCTGGAGTTTAAGAGAGGATCGTGACGGATTGTGAGTTTTATTTCGTGCTAGTCTGTCTTTAATAGCTTGGCGCGTGTGCGGATAAAAACTAATGTAAGGAGTTCGTTCGCCAATAGGCTCCATCGACTTTTTTTATAATACTGCCATTTGAGATTGGCGTTAGCGATGCTCTGCCTAGTTTGAAAGAGTATCTACGTCATTGCATTTCATAATGGTAACCACTCGTTGCTCTTATATCTTTCGTTATACTGGATTGCCGAATAAACTAATATTTTTTTTTACTGTGACAGACACGATACTACATGACTTGCTCAATTGAATGATGGGAAATATATATCAATTGAACGTGCTACGCTGCCGAAAGTGTTACTACCCCGTCCGAAAGCACTAATAGCTACACGTAAATTGTTGGTAACATTATTTTGCGATTCCTTACGATTTGTATTCATTGATTTATTTGGTTTACACTTTTATTTCTTTTACTGTAGCAATGTGTTCAGTCCGTAAGAACCAAGAAAACCAACAGATCCGTGATGCTATAGACAATTCAATCACCGTCCTCGACACTATAGAACCGAACTATCAGTTCAGTGCTGAATCCGGTATATCAAATATGAATACCACAGTCACGTCATCTGCAGCTCTCGAAACGGAAACAATATGGGTGGAAAGGTTGTTAACTGGAAGCGTAGACGTGTGATTGGAATTGTTGATTGGTCTTGTAAGAAAGAGTAAGTTGGAGTATTGCATTCTATGGATTGACCGCTATTGAAGAGACTAATTTGGTGACATAATCAACCTGTACAGAATAGACCTGCTCACAAGATGGGAAGAGTCCAGTGATAAGCAATTGGCTGCTTTGAGAAATGTACTTTGTGCTGAGAATCCTCCAGGAGCTTACGTACGGATAAGGCGTTGTATTTATACTTGTTTATTGAAATCAGCTTTACTATAGGATGGAAAATGGTTAACTTATTTTAGTAAATGACGATTCATAACAGATAAGTTGATCGGTTTTGACAACGCATCGCGGGCGGGGAAACGCGTTTTGAGTTAATCCTACGATTTTTCTTGTCATACGCAAGGTAATGTTACTCACAAGAATACGTAAATCAGTCAAAAATCAGCTATTACTATACACTCACCGGAAAAAAGTATCGACAAAATCTAAATGTTACACAAACTTTTGTTTAACTCGATAATCTTTAAAGT